AGCGACGATCACAACGGCAGCGGCGGCGGCGGTGATGAAGAAGAGCTGTTCGAGGTGCTCGACAATGCGACGGGGCCGATGGACAAGATGAAGGTGGTGCGACTTCGGTCGAGCAAGAACAACGCGGAGCCGGCGCCGCTGGCGGCGGCAATGAAGGCGGCCGGCGAGAAGCGGCGCCCGAGCGTGGTGGGCGCCACGGCGAGCGAGGACCTGGCGCGGGCCAGCTCCCCGTTCCCCGGCGTGCCGTTCCATGGTGAGGGCGACACCAGCTTCTCGGCGCTGAAGGGCGCCAAGAAGGAGCGCCTCACCGAGCTGCTCATGGCCCGCCACGACGACGACGAGTACAACTACCTCGAGGACTACAACTTCCTCATTTGAGCCTTTTCCGTGTAAATACGTTTGGTGTCCCTTTTTGTGTGATCAGCTCGGGCCACCGCCTTCCTCACCTCCTCCGCCATGAGTGCTTCCGCCCGCTCCCGCCCTATCTCGTCGATAATCGACCTGGAGCCGCCGCCGCTGCTGCTTTTGCCCTCGTCCTTCTTGTCTGCCATGCTCATCAATCTTTGCGTTTCCAGTTGGGCAGCGCCAAAATGTCTTGGACGATCATTTCGGTGAAGCCAGCTCCCGAAGTTCGTCCAATGGTTGCTGACTGGCACTAAACTAAACTTCTTTCGAAGACTCAGTTGGCGTAGGGCTGGATGTCGATGAGTGCGACCTGGACGCTGTCATCGCCGGCATGGTTCCACCGGAGCTCGAGCTTGAGCGGAACCGAACTCTTGACGGTGACCTGCGGGCGCGACGCCGCGCTGGTGCGTGCCTCGCACGACAGGTCGAGCCACCCGTCGCGCCCGAACGGGTACTGGGTCACCCCGTGTGCCTCCAACTGCCTCACGTCCCACACCAGCAGGCCTGCCCCCCACAAACGCATTGCTCGTCTTAGGCGTTGTGCCGTGTCGCATGTGTCGTTGGTCGTGTGCGGCGTGGATCGTGTGTCGTGTGCGCACCTTTCTCGACGTAAGGCCTGAGACCGATCACGTACTCGAGGAAGA